GTTTGCCTGATATCCTCTTTTGTTTTGTTTTTTAACTTAACAGGGATGATAATCCATCATTATGTTTGTATATGAAATATCTATATTTTTGAGTGACAACTCCTGCAGTGTTCTCAAAAGAGCTTGCTAGAAAAGCACTGGAAGTCAAATATTTCTTTCAGTATATTATGACTGCTGTATAAAATTGAATTCTGCTTCCTATGCACTGAACTGTATTTTTGAAAGTGGGAACTGGTTTGGTTAATTTAATATAACCTCTTTCCAGTTATATAATATGAGCTATAATATTGGTATGAAGAAAGCTGCTTTGAATTAACAAGCCTTCTGCAAAGCAACGAGCAAAAACAGTGAAACTGCTGCAAACAAGGCATTTTTAACATCTGAAAGAAGTGTTAACACTTTATTTACATTTAAATTAAAATGGAAACTTATTTATGTGTTATGTTTCTGAAAGGTGTGTGGCACATCTGCAGTGGCCTATTGTTTATTCATGCTGTAAATCCTTTGAAATGTGTTAAAATGCTTCCCACTCATTATAAAAATCCTGCCACCCATGGATTAGGACTTTGATGTCACCAATCCTGCTTCAAAGGGTTCTTTCAATGCTATTAATCACAGTTTAGCCTCTGAAGATATGTAGCCAGAGAAAACATTTGGACATCTTGTGCTCCACTCACTACTTAAAACTTTGAAATGTATCAGGAATGGCCTGCACATGCATAGCCCACATTACTTCCTTTCTTGCTTTCAAAGCTTTCATTTTTTGAACCTCTGCACCTCTCTTTTTCAAATTTATTTGCCTGCAAGAATAAACAAAATAAAAATGTTGCTAATGAACACTCTTCAGCGATGTCAACAAGCTACTCAGCTGATGTCATAAGATCCAATTCAGTGCGCAAGGTTCAAACAAAGCTGACCAGTCCTCAGCTCCATTGATTTCAACAAGAGAGACATAAGCATGTGCATCATCTTCCTTTTGAAACGAGTGGGATTTAATCATGTTTGTCTTAGATCTTGTCCATTATTTTTGACCAATTACTGTAGGCAGCCTTTGAAATCATACCACTGGAAGCTTAGCTCATTTAAGCTCTTATCCCACCTGAAGGCAAATACTAAATAGAACAACCCCATGGGTTAATCTGCGTCACCCAGAAGGGACAGAGGCACTACAGCCGCAGTAAGCAGCCTTTTACTCGTAGGGTCAGAAAATTGGCAATTATTCTTTTATCAACTCTGAGTCATGGATGTCCCTATATAGCAGAGCTCATGAGAATGCATACCCAGTAGCTTTAAGAGTATCTCTGTGAGTTCTGGTAATCAGCAGTTTGTCATCTAGGCTTCTGGGGTTTTCCTTAGATTCACTTTAGGTTAGAAACATTAAAAAAGCATCTGGACAGTCATCTGAGTGGGATGGTATAAAGTGGTGTCCTGCAAGAGCAGGGGGTTGGACCCAATGGTCTTCTGGCCCCTTCCAACTCTATGCTTCTATGATTCCCAGAATTTCTGTAAGATACACAGAATGAGGTGATAGTATCTGAATGATACTATAGATAGGAGGGGAGGTCATATTTTTGAATGCTTAGTCCACTAAAGAAATTCTCTGTATGAAATAGGCAAGCATCTCAGGGAAGGGGTGGTCTTTTCCCCCCTTGTAAATTAGTTTACTACAGACAGGGAGGAAACAGTGCAAGAATAGTGTTAATGCCACCTGCTCTTTGCTTTGTATTTTAATATGTTGTACTTGGTTTTTATGGTGTTTTATCTTGTGACTGAGCCACCCAGAGGTGCTGTGGCACAATTGGGTGGCATGCAAATGTTTTAAATAAATAAATAGAAACAGAGAAACAGAGTGAGTCAGAAGGGGCCTCCTGGGCCATCAAGTCTGACTCCCAGCTCCAGCTGGCTCCACTCATGAAATGCCCATCATGTGCATGGTCAGCCTAAGCTAAATAAGAATAGCTTAGTTCACTCTGCTATCCGACTCTAAAATACTCTAGGTATTTTAAAGATATGAACCATGGATAACTTCTGTAATCATACTGCGTGCAGATGCCGTGTTATTTTAACCATATTTACTCAGAAGAATGTCCCCATGATACGCTCCAACTCATCATGGTTTATTGAACCTATGATGTATTGAGGCACAGGTTCCATATGTGACTAACATTTGGGGATTTTCATGTCATGTGAACCTGAGGATTAAGCAATCCTCACATAATCCTAAAGCAAACCATGGCTCTTGTAAGGGTTGTTTAACCCTCACTTACTCGTATGTTAGCACGTATCATAGCCTTACCAAGGATTAAATAACTCACAGTAGACTCTTATGCTATGCAAACAGCTACAATATACAGTATTAGGTGGGGCTTATACCCTACTAAGTGTATTTAGGATTGCAGCCTTAAATATGCCCACCAAGTATGCTGGACCGTTCAGTGTAACATTAGCACAGCAATCCAAATGGGTGTATTGGCAAGCAATTATTGCTACATGCAAATTGGTCAGTGCATGTACTATGTTTAAACTTGAATTGTAACATGTGGAATGTTTAGACAAGTACAGGCTTTACCCATGTTTTATTTCTTGTGTAAATCAAGCATCACAAAAGAGTTCTTGAGTGTTATATTTCTGCTCACTCCCCTCCGAACTGGCTATGGATAATCAAGGATTTATGTTTGCTTTAAATTCCCTTAATTATGAGTTAAAAGATAAAAGAAAAAGTCACCTATCTATTATCCCTCTGATTACGGAGGAGTTTATATTATGTTCTGGTGCATCTTTCCTATTCATGGCAATTGTTTATCTCCCAGAGTAAAAAAAAAGGGGGGGGGAGGGGGGAGACAATCATTGTCACTGAAGTTCCTTATTCAGTGTGCCAAAGCAAATGCCTCAAACTAAATATCTTGCACAAGCAAATATACTTCTGAGTTGGATTGGGACCACCATGCTCCAGGAAGGGAGTGCTAAACCCTCCACACTCTCCCCCAACCCCTTTGAACTTGGGTTTAACCCTCCCACCATGGCCACATGTGCTTACTCAAGGCTAAAGGGAGAGTGGGGGGGGGGGAGCCTCAGCTATGTGATGTGGGATTAGCGCAGTATGTAGATGGAATCTCAGTGGCTGATTCTGAACTGGAGAGTGTGTTGCTTGCTGGAGCCGGTTGGAGGTCTTGGCTTAAGGATGGGTTTGGATTTAGGATTCGACATGTACAACATACTGCTGTTTCGACAAAGCAAATTGCTGTTTCGACAGAAAGCCTGGCAAAGCCAACGAAAAACAAAATCAAGGAATATTCAAAACAATCCAACAGAATAAATCATCGAAGTTCCAGGATACTGAAAAGAATATATGTGGTTTCATTCTTGGATTAAAACTACTTTTCCCCCCTGCGCCCTGAGACTTTGCCTCATTATTTCATTGTGAGCTAAAGGTGTTACTTTAAATTCATATTTAGCAAGTACACTTTTTAAAATGTTTCCTTTAGCATAGGTGTAAGAGCCCTGATTCAGATGTGGATTGTGGTATGGGCCAGGTGATTTTGTACTGAGTGCCAAGCACCTACTTGTGAGTAAAAATGGGGGTGGGGGGATGTCAGTTTTGACCCTCTGCCTCTGTATTGATCAGGCCTGACATAAACTGCGGGAGACTTTCTGATCCTGTTTCTTCCATCTTTCCTTTCTTCCTGAAGGAGTCTTCCAACTAGCCTACTAGGATAGGTTTCAGCCTCAGTATGCAGTCCCTGATCTGCTGAACTAAATCACGATGATTCTAACAGTAGATAATGCAACCATGAATACTTTGCACATATGCAAAAGGGAATTGGAGCCATGCCTACTGGCCCTGCCCCAGCATCTACTTGTTTAAGAAAGTGTTTCCACAGTGGCTTATGTGCAATTCCTGTCATGAAAGGTGCTCACTAACAACCTCAAGCAGTTGATCAGAGGTTAAATCAGTGTGGTGTAATGGTTAAGAGCATGGGACTGGGACTCAGACGATCCGGGTTCGAGTCCCTGCTCAGCCATGGAGCCAACTGGGTGACTTTGGGCCAGTCACAGATTCTCAGCCCAACCTACCTCACAGGGTTGTTGTTGTGGGGATAAGATGGAGGAGGAGAATGATGTAAGCTACCTTGAGCCCTTTGTAGGAAAAAGGCAGGATATAAATCGGGGAAAAAAATCACAAAAAACCATGGATATCCAATGTTGTTCTGTTTTGATTACTGTGTTCTGCTTTATTTCCCAAACTAACTTCACTAGCCTTGGGTGCGATGCATTGTGGCATGACAGGGAGGAGGGCACCATTTTCTTCTCTGTCCCAGGCAGTAAAATATGTTGGGCTACACACTGACAATCCCCAACCACTCTAATCAGTAGTTACATTTTCAAAATGTTGCCTGGCATGCACTGTGGCTCACTAACAACCCCGAAGAAGCCTGGGGTTAAACAAGACTTGATGATCCTGGGGTGTCACGTGAACTGAATCTATGCATGTTTTGAGTATGTGCTGAAATTGTTTGTGTGTGGAGTGGGGGAGACAGGAATGCTCCTGAAGCATCGCAGGCCCAGTTCAAATCATGACTGCATGTGCTTCTACAAGAGTTAGAAGAGTGAGAGAAGCCTCAACATATACTGTGTGATTAGCGCAGTGCATCGTTAGGATCTCACAGGCGGTGACTGAGCATGGGCCCTTGTGTAAATGTCACCTTGAAGGCTTGCAGATATGGCCCATTAGCACTACATTCCTTTACATTTATTTGTACATGCAAAGTTGTAAAAAGCTAAGCAGGGTGTTTCTAGACGCACTAAACACAAAACACAATGATTTCTTTAGTAACCTTTCCTTTTTGTGCTTTCTCGGTCTATCTAGTAGAATTTGTGTTCCTTTTGCTGAGTCTGCTTTCTTCTCATCTTGATTTTGCTTTGCACATCTTTTGGCCCATTGTCTATGTGTTTACTTCCATTTCAATCTCTTCAATCTCTTCCCCACTTTTTTTTAACAGGAAACTTGGCTCAGGCACGAGCAAGAGTGACAGCTGCCTCCAGGTCTTTGCCCCCACAGCTCAGTGCTGGTCGCATCAAGGTCAGTGCACACCTAGTGCTTTCGCTTGCCTGCTTGAAAAGGGATCTATAACACAATGGAGTGAGACAGCATGCCAGGTTTTTGACTGATGCAAGACTACTTGGTTTACATTAAGTGAGAATTGGGCAGTGGGGGCTGTTCTTATTTTACAAGGCAATACATATTATCCTAATACAATTCCTGTAGTAAGGAAATGTACATTTTAGCAAAGCTACAACAGGATAATGCATTGTCTTATTGTCCAGGGTTTTCTTTCATTCTTTCCTGAAAGTAGAATGCAGATCACCTAATTTTCTTCTAACTTTCTGGAATCTAAAATAATCTAAACCACCATTAAAAAACAAACGCAAAACAGGCTTTGCTCATTTGCTTCCTTTGGTAAGGGAATCTCTCTTTTGATCATCGTAATCTTTTTTTTCCCTGCCATATTTTTGCCTTGCCTCTTCCCTTTTAGCTGCACACAGGAGGATTAATGTGTAATCTCCCTCTTGGGAATGATTCATTAGTTCCTTAGCAGTTAAACACAGGCCCCTTGGGAGTTTTTCCCTCTGCCTGCAGCAGCTGTCACAAAAGAGCAAAATGTTGTTGAAAGTTGCAGATCGGGCATGCCTTTCTAGGTCAAGTTTTTGCTCTTAAGTTAGCAAGTTAGTGGTTTGGCAGAAACCCCAGATGGCTTGAGCCCTTTAGCGCATTTTTGCAGGGTCCACCTCCATATCGTGCAGCAAATGACAGACTGGACCAAATGACTGACTCGTAGGAAAGGCATAATTTGGGGAAAATACGTACATGCATCCCCCTGGTGCACTGGATTTTATGGTTGGCCCTCTGCCTTTCACATATAACTCCTACTGAAGCTCCATACATGATGTCATACTCTGGAGTTTCCTTGCCTTAGTGTCGTACAGTGACAGCCTAGTATCAATGTTACCTAATAACACCCATCTCTCAAATCTTTTGTCCCAGATTTCTGTAACAAGGGCTTGGCTCTGTAATCTTTCCCCCCTCTCCTTTGAATGGGGAATTAGGTAGAAAGTGTAAGAATTTTTGCCAGCTAAGAGTTCTGAAATGCCTCCCTCACCTCCTTTCCTGCAGACATCCCTGCAATTCTAAGTGAAAGATTGATATTTACTTGGTCACATGACCTCCAGAAATGTTTGAAGTTATCTGTGCTGATGCAGCATTCCACCCCTTCAATCCCCCTCCTTGTGCTACATAAGGCTGCCCCTTAATCTTTTCCTCCCCCCCTTTTTTCTTTTCCCCCTTTCTTTTATTCATATTTTATTTGCATGAACCCTTTACATTCCTTTTTGCATAATTTACTTGAAGTGCATTTAACACATTTTCACTATTTGGGCACAGAAAGGGTAACCATGTCAGATTAGGAAAGCTTGGATTTTGGTTTTTACTCTTTCTCTCGCCTTGCATTCCATCAAAGTCAGATCTTAACACCCATTTCCCCAGCCCCTTTCCTCCATGCCTGCTGCATTGCTGCTTAGCAGTTCTTTCTTTTCCTTTCTGTTTTGCATGCAGTCTCCCAAGTATCTGCTCAAGGTAAGGCACAAAATAACAGTCGTGAGAACTGCAATCTTTTTCTGTCTGTGCTTTTAGCCGCTTTGAAATTATCCACCTTGATCAAGCCTGGTTCTGAAACTCTGTGTGATGTGGAGACAGCATGTGACACAGGTGCTGAAAGTGCTATTCTCTGGTTCAAATGCTCTTCCTTTAATATACAAATGCCACCTGTTCACAGCAGATGGTAAACTGCCACTGTGTGTGTGTGTGTGTGTGTGTGTGTGTGTGTGAGAGAGAGAGGGGGGGGGAGGGACGGAGTACTGAAATGTTTCAAATGCACCATGTGAACAGGGGCCAGATTGTTTTCTTTAATTTTGCTGAACTGTGTGATGTAACAAAACAAGGCTGCCTTTGATTGCTAACAAGAGGGTGGGTGGTGCTTTCTTCCTTTTTTCATTCACAAAGTCATTTCATTTAATACACACACACACACACACACACAGATGGATGTGTGCAGAGAGAGAGAGAGAGAGAGAGAGAGAGAGAGAGAGAGAGAGATTGAGAACAGCTGTAGTGACAGCCTAATTAAGACATGCAAGGAACAATGTACTTGCCACCCCATCTATGTGTTGAAAACACTAAGGAGCTTTTTATGTACAGCAGTTACAACTTGGCAGCATGAGCCAGCTAGTGACATGAAGTAATGAAAAACTACCCCAAGTAGTAAAAAGGAAAATAACATTGTGCTCAATAACAAGGGTGACATGGCAAGGATATTGATGTGTGTCTCTCTCTTTTAGTGTGGCTGTAATCCACACAGACTGGCTGGGACCGTGCAGAGTCCTGGGGTGGGGACCTTATTTTAAGCTAAGTTAATGGTTCTGAAGCCACTCATTGTTCCCTCTATTTCTGATGCTTGTGGTTTGAATGCCCAACAAAAAGTATACTTCTGTGCACCAGGTCCTGGGGAATGTGGATGGGAGGGCACTCCTGCACACATGGCCTGCATGTGGTTGGCCACTGCATGAACAAAGTGCTGGACCAGATGGACTCGTGGTCTAACCCAGCAAGACTCTTCTTACGTCTTCGCTCCAGTGCACACGTGCAAGAAGAAGGATATCAACAGAGTTAGACAATTTAGAGTGTTTTCTAAGCTTCTAGCATTTGGAGCAGGGGTAAACCTAAGCAGGTGGGAGACCCCAAAACAGAGCTGGGTGGATTGTGCATTTTCAGTTGCCACGGAAAGCTGGCTGACTAGTGGAGCTGGGGAAGTACATGTTTTGGGGCAGGAAGGTATGGAATGGCTACAGTCCTGAAGATACTCCAAGATGACCAGATCCATATGTTCACTATGGAAAAGAAGCCACAATAGCTTCTTTGGGTGATTATAGGTCACTAACAACTCTGAAATAGTCCATTCAGATGACCACTTTGCCTGGCATTATCTTCTCCTGATGTGTAGTAAAACCCTTGGCCAGATGGGACAGAGACCCACTTTGAGCATAATGAAAAGCCACCCTGCATGAATGTAGTTGAGGGGCTTTTCAATATGAAGGCAGCCACCATTTGGAATATTCAGGGTGAGGTGGGGACATGGTAGAACTTCTTGTTATGCACAGAGGGAGGGTTGTTGGGACAATTGACAAGCCCGGCTGCCTACAACTCTAAACCTGCCCATGGCTTGTCAGCCACCCCAACCATTCACCCTGGCTGGGTTTGCATCTTCAGTAGTGTACAGAGGAACCTCTGCATACAATGATGTTCCCAAAATGATGTACCAACAGAACTGACCTTCTGAGCCAACTGCTGGTTTTACCTTGAGTCCCAAAAGCCAGCCATAACAAGTTGGAGTTAGAGGTTTTTCAAAAGGCCTTTGGGCTGTTGCTTTGGGAGAGTCTCCAGGGAGAGGTTATTACATGGTTAGAAGAGGGAAGGCAGCTACTGAGAACCTATCTATGTAACCTCGTTATCTGATTGTGATGCACACATGTAATCTCATGGAGAGGAGAACGCATGGGGCTCAGGCAACTGCTGAAGACTTTCAGCCACTTGGGTCCTTGCTTTTGACAGTCTTGGGTCTTCCTCTATGTTTAGGGCAGCCTGGCCCAACCAGCTGCCCTTCATGTAGTTTGGATCTCAGCTCCCACCAGCCCCAGTCAGCATGGTAAAAGCACTGCTGCAAAGTATCTGGAGGGGATTTAGGGAATCTGCATGTTTAGAGAACATTTGATGATGCAGTGACTGGATGGAAAGAAAAGTTGGGGGGCAGAGATATGGAGGATTAGGTAGCAGATGGCCAGAGTCATTATGCACCTCTGACTTTGTCCTTCCAGGTTGACACCATGGAGATTATGAGGCACCCTGAGGAAACAACCAACATGAAGAGGCAAACAGTGGCTTCCTATTTTAGGGTATAAAATCTGTTGTAAAAAATGCACTTTAACTTTGCTGTTAGACCACCCTCTCATTGAGTTGGCGCTGGCAATATGCCAGGCTTTGTGTGGCACATATGCTAGGGCCGTGTGCCTGAAAAGATCCCCTTAGCTCAAGGGTCCTCAACCAGATGCCCTCACAGCAGCCCCAGCCAGCATAGCCAGTGGTCAAAAAACCTGGCAGGTGTAGTCCAAAATAAATGGAGGGCACCAGGGTGGGGAAGGTTGTCTTGGGGGCAGTGGGGCAGGGGGAAAACAAGAACAGGATGTATGGACAGGTTAGGAGGGTCATTTTCGCAGAACTGAGGAGAATCAAGGGTACTGGGGAAAGTGCTAAGGTGAGGCATGTACAGGGGAGATAGGGTTTAAGGAATGTTTTGCTAAAGCAGGGTTTTCAGAAGATGCTTAAAAGTAGCCACTTTAAAAGAACTTTTTTCCTGCAGTTTTTGCTTGCTAGTTGATGTGGTTCTTAGGGCCCATGAAGCTGATTTGAGAGGTATACATTAACACATTTTGGATACATGCTTTTGTGTCTTTTCTTTCTGACATGTTCACATTTGTTAGTTATCCTTAGAAACCACTTTTTACATGGGGAGGTATGAGTAGACTAGCTAGCATTTCATTCCATACAAAGTAAATTGTGCTGTCAAACTTTATTTTGTTTTACCTTGCTTTTCTTAGTATTCCCTGATGGATCTGTTGTCCAAAATGGTAATTGGGCAGCCTCATTTTGTCCGCTGCATTAAGCCCAATGATGACCGCAAGGCACTGAAATTTTCTCAGGAAAGAGTTTTAGTGCAACTCCGCTATACTGGAATTCTTGAGACCATCAGCATACGTCGTCAAGGGTATTCTCATCGCATTCTCTTTGATGAGTTTGTGAAAAGGTAAACCATTTTGTGTTTGGCAATATAAGAAGCAGCTTTTAGACTTCCACAAAATGGAACTGCAGGCTGACAGGCAGAGACCACATAAATCTTGGGACTGTACCATTTTAGAATACTGGTGGGGACTGCCTATTTGAGTATGTAAACCAAGAATACCCTTTGAGTGGCATGCCCGAAAGAAGAATTGTATCTTAGCCTTCACTCTGATAGGTTAATTTTCTACATGCAAAAAAATGTGGCTGTTTTTAAAATCCATTGGGTCAAACATAGAATCCTGGTCCTACAGTATGAATGGTGTGGACTCAAGGAGACATCATTCCTTGGGACACCAATTGCAGGCACCATTCTACAATTTCTGTGACTTGAGACTGCCCCTGGGTTTTCAGTAAAATTGGAGTACTAAACAGAAGAAATCTAGAAAATGCTCTGAACCTAATCACATACTTGACAGCAAATGCTACTGAAATCAAGAATGCTTAGGCTGGCATAAATGCATTTGAAAGAGAAGTACATAATTGAAACCAAAGCCTATTTCCCACTGAAGATGTCAAAATAGCATGTTTTTATGACCCAGTATTTTAAAATGTACTGTTCTTGCCAATTCTACAAGTTGCAAGTCTGACCTATGGAAAACTGAAGATGTAATTGTTAAAACTGCATTGATCTAATCTTTGTTCTGCACCAAATTCACTTGACTCAGATCTAAGATTAGGTTGTTGAAATTTAACAAAAGTGTGCTTTGCTTTGTGAAGGTCAGCTTTACAGCTTACCAGAAATGTTGGCAGATATGGCACTGACAACACTTCTCAGTATATTGTGATTTGTTAGATGAGAGATAATTGAAGGGCTCCTACAGAAAACGCCAGTGGCTCTTCAGTGAAGAAAAAGAGCTCGCTCGACCTCATGGATTTTAATTAGATGGAATGGCCTCTGGGTTTTTTGACCCTAGAGCATTCCACTTTGTGGTTTATTATTTGTTTATTGCTAACTTCTCACTTTTCTTCCTGTGACATCTGCCTGTAAATGCATCTTGAAGCATTTGCCATGTTCTCCTCATTCCTTGCTCCTGCTGGGTCTTTCCTGGCCATGGGGGAGAAGAGGGAAAACTTGGTGCTCCCACAGAGTCCCTCGGATGTGTGCAGGAGGCCCAAGGAGGGAGGAGCAGAAGTGGCTCCAGAGCCAGAGTCGCTCTGATCTTCTGTTGAACATCATAGGCTCTGTGGCAAACAAGCTGCACTGCTTAGCCTTCTATGCCCAGAGAGAACATTTGAAAGAAGGGAGTAAGGACTGATGGACTTGCTTTGCTCCAAACTGCAGTTTTTAACAATTCTGCAGTGGCCTTATCGGAAAATAGAGGTAGGCCTGACTGGAAGCACCTGGGGAGCGCCCCTCTAGGTAGCTGAGTCATCTGTGGCCCTAGACACTTTCTCATGGCAGTCACATCTGGGAACGACTTGGGAAATAATGATGCAAATGTCCACCTAAATGTGGGAACTATAAACACTTTCTCCTTTGGGTGTTGTTCTTCATGTGGTTCATTTCTAGAAAAGAACATTCCCAGGACTTATGTCTTCCCAGAATGCATGACCAAACCTATTCCACCTCAGTGCTCATGGAGGATCTCTGTATTTTCTCACCCCTTGTGAGCACTTTCCCTCTGCTCTTTCCTGGTTATCTTCCTGTGCTGAGCCATGTTGAGCATGATGCAAACAGAGGCCAGTGTGCCAGACTTCTGCACATTCTGCAGCTGCAGTTCTGGTAGCAAAAACAGCTGCCCTCAGGCTGAAAAAAGCTCTGCTCCCCATATATATATATACATCACAGCTTTCCTTGATGGAATTTACCTTCATTTTATATTCACAACAACCTTATGAAGTGCTTTAGGTGGAAAGAGAAGCCCAAAGTAAACTGTGAGTTTGATGGCTGAGTGGAAATTCTGACACAACTCTCAATAGCCCTAATTTGAAACTCTATCCCTGCAGTACTCTCAGTCTTGAGCTGTCTGAATATTGAAACGTGGCTTTGTTAACTTTTTAATTTGAAACCTGTGATTTCATTTGCACTTTTGGCAATTACATATTTCACATTCTTGTCTTCATTGTAAGCCGCCTTGCAGCAAATACATAAAAAATATAAAATTGGAAGCATTTGTACATTACGTGGGGCATCTAATTTTTTTTTAGTCTTCACTAGTCAAGTATTTTTAGGCACTAAGTCACTGAATACATAAAAACATTTCAGAAAAACAGGTCAAATGCTAAACAGATTGGCACTTCTTTGTTCCTAATAAAAAAAAGCCATTAGGCAAGTATGAACAAGAGTTTCGAAATGTCAGTAAATCTGAGGATATCAAAGATTTTTCTAAGCCAGTAAGTTAATTGGTATTTTGATCCTTTTGAGCAACTTAACAACAAAATAGATGAACCAGCAGTTTTCCCCCCTTGATGTTATTAAACAAATAGGTACACTTCTTATCTTCCTGTTCAATAGCTGCTGTTTTGTAAACTCTTACCAGGAAAGATGAGAACAAAGCAATCAAAGGCAGGAAACACAGGCGATCAAGGTTTATCAGGCCGAGGTAAATAAAAGCTCAAGTCTTATTTAATGCTTTGGTTATCTTTTGTTTCCCTGTGGCATGCAACAGTTTCACGAGGTAGTCCTGAAAGTTGGGTTATTCCATTGAAGCATAAGACTTAATCAGTAGAATTTGGCTTCTAGTGCTCCTTCCTTAGCCTGTGATCCTCAAATAGTTGAAGTACAGTATTTAGGATTAAACTTGGTCTGTGCTCAGTTGTGGGATGTGATTTTAGTGTCAGGGGTGAGTCTTAAAAAATGAACTGTTGATTTTTAAAAGGACAGAGTGCCTCTGAGCATATTCAAATTGTATTTTTTCCCCTTACCTCCAAGTAATCTTGCTCTGGGTTTTCAATCAAGAGTTTCCTAGTCAGGCAGTTTGATTTCCCTTGTTTGGGCACATTGATCCATTGTTGTCCAGTTATAGTAGTGTCAAAGATGTTTGGAAGTCATGATACAAGAAGTTGTTATGTAGATATATGTGCAACAAAGTAGGGGAGATGGTTATCTCAGTTTCTGCAAGGTAGTCGCGTTGGTCTGTTGCATCAAAGCATCCTTTAGCTACTTGAAGACTTAACACATTTATTCTAGCATAAATTTTCAAGGGCTACAGAGTAGAATACACATATTAGTCTTTAAGGTGCAGCTAGATTATCTAGATGTTTCAGTTACATTTTTCTGACATAATGAAATTACAACTAACATTTACATACTGTCCAGGACAAATACACAGACCCTGAGACACTATAAAGACTACTTCAAGTTTTGTTGTCTCTGAGTTATAGCAATCCTATAATGGGTTTCCTCCAAAATGTCTTATCCTTGAATTTATGTTTGACTACTTAATCAAATAATCAAATCAATGATTTTTCTACATGAACACATGTTAAGAATTCTTCATGGATTGAAGGGAAAATTGGAACAGTGGAGTTCCATAAACCTATCATCTCAGAGCAAGACAGCATCAAGATGGCTGATGGTTTTTTCATACTAGCTACACTGGTGCATGATTGACTGAGTTCTGAGGCAGTTATAGGCTTTGTTTATGAAATTTAAGGTGTTCCAAGTACACAAAAAGAACAATTGTATTATTCCTGCTTAACAGTGGGGGAGATTGTTTGAGTCTAGGCCAGGGGTCAGCAACCCATGGCTCCGGAGCCCCATGTGGCTCTTTCATCCCTCTGCTGCAGCTCCCCGTTGCTCAAAATATGTGTCACAACTGCCAATGTGTGACACCCACCAGCACGCGATTTATTGAGCTTTTCAACTCCAGGTAGGCCAACCATGGATAAATCCAAAAAAAGAAAAGTTTCAGAAGAAAACATAACGTTTAATGGTACGTGGGCAGATTCATTGGCTTTCACTGCTGATGAGACTGGTTTACCAGTATGCTTAATATGTGGTGAGAACTTGGCAAACAACAAAAAGTCGAATGTTGCAAGACATTTCCAGAATAAACACACAGCCTTTGCTTAAAAATATCTGGATGGAAATGCAACACACTATAGTTTTTTATACATGGCATAAAGGTAAAAAACAATATATGCAGTGCTATCTTCATTTTAGATGTCAAAAGGGTTTTGTGGCTCCTGGTGTTTTCTTTTCTGTGGGAAACGGGTCCAAATGGCTCTTTGCATGTTTAAGGTTGCCGACCCCTGGTCTTGGCTTTAGGTGGAGTTTAAACTACATGAAACCTTGGGCTTTCTGTAGTCAGTCAGTAGATGATATAGAGTTGCATTACTTCGATTTGGATTTAGGGGACTGAACATTTAGCGATTTGAGAAGGCCCATACCAGTCTAGAGAGATAAAATCCTTGTTGATTTCAGTCAAGGGACCTGGTGGTAAACATTCCAGTACATTTTCTCTTCACTTTTCCAAATGAGCTGACCTTTCCATGTTGCCTGTGAAAGTTAAAAACAAATGGCAGTGGTTGGCAGGAGTACTTGCTGGCAACCCTCTGAATACTGTTTCAGCTGGCCGGACTGGGGCCCCCAGTGTGGCACTAGCGATTTCCAGGATGCCCATGGGCACCTGCAGATTTTATTTTATTTCTTTTAAAAAATATGCATGCATGAATGTGTATGAAACATGTGCAGCTTTCTAGCAATTATACATTGACTTCAACAAAAATGGACCCAATATCCAAATAAGGTGAAGGAGCCAAGATCCGTACTTTATATGTGGGTTTGTCATCCTTACCTGTAACTTTTCTGGAGGTTTAACTCATGGTGCAGTCTAAAACTCACTTATGAAGGTATAAAAACTGTTGAACACAATGAGGCTTGCTTCCAGGTAAAGATGCATGAGGTGCACTGATAATACATTTTATTGGTTGCTTTACATAGTTCATCCTCACTTGTGCAATTGGGAGAGTTCTACACATGTAGAATTCAGCTCAGAACAGCTCTCTGCCTGCCTGCCTGCC